ACAAACAGATTTATCCTGGAGAGGGTTAAATCGGACGGCTCCTTGGAGGCAAGGATTCTGAGGCTCTGTGTAACATACTTTGGACATGTTGTAAGGAGGGACCAGTCCTTGGAGAGGGACATCATGCTTGGGAGGGTGGAGGGACAGCACAGGAGAGGAAGGCCCCCTGTGAGGTGGTTTGATTCAGTGACTGGGGTAATTGGGATGGGTGTGTCGGAGACAATGCGATTGGCACAGGATAGAGTTTAGGGCTGTTGTACATAGTGTCACTGTGAGTCGCAAGCAACTCGATGGCACATAACAACAACAACAAATGGTAATGGTCATACAACTCCATAAAAATTTGAAGAACCACTGAACTATATACTCTAAATGCATTAATTTTTGAAATTTAAATTATGTATATGAAGGAACATAACAGAGAGGAATGGGTGTTGGGAGTACAAACAATGGTGTCTGTCATTTGTGTGTTTAGATACTATTTTTCTTCTAGGTCCATGGAACAGTAGGAGAACCCTGGTGGATTTGGGTAGAAGATCCTACAAATGATCATATTTATCATTCAGAGTATTTTTTAATTTTAAAAAAGCAGGTAAGTAGCAGTAGACATATCTTTATTATCTTGCTTTCTTAAGAAAATATATACTAAATAATCATATTTGTTTTTTATCTCCCGTATAATTTCATATACAATTAAGTCTTTATTGTACATTTTCATGATTCTGTTTAGATTTAAAAGAAAACAGTAATTACCTATTGTTGATATATTCCATTTGACCTTAGTTTGGAAACTCGTTGTAATCTTTACCATGTTTAGGCAACGTCTTCTAGAAATGTATAATATGTAAAACAAGTGACATAAATAATAATTTTACTAGTGTGCTAAAGAGTATTAAACTGCATAGTTTAAAAAAATTCACTTTTTCATTCTCTATAAATCTCAATAGAAAGACTCCACTTAATGCAAGCATATCTTTAATGCTTTATTCATAGTTTTTATGTTAATAAAAAGCAGGCTTCACACTGACAGCTTTAGGTAAGCAGCAGACTTTCATGGCTGTGACTTGTTTTTTGTCTTCCTTATAGCCTTTTATTTACGCCCAATGATTCTTTTACTCCACTTTCTTCAAGTAGTTGTATACTTTAATGAAGATTATTAGATAAATATATAATAGTTGGATATGTTAAGAATTATTAAGTAATTAAATGAATGAAGCTTGGAAAAGTCAGAATAAGTGAGATTAATAGCAGGTTAAAAAACATATATTCATATGTAAACATTATAAGCTAAATATAAATTCTTTGTTCTGTTCTATTAGATATAATCAAAATATAACCACTCATAAGTTTCTGAAGTATCCTAATATTTAAGCTGTTGAGAAATTCAAGATAGGTTTTTGGGGTTTGTACCTTTTTATAGCTTGCAATTATATTAAGTAGATTAATGAAATCCTTATGTTATTAGATTATTTATATTCATTTCCATCTTTATTTTACTTTAGGTCATTAGTAAAGAAGCTCAATTACTAGTATTTACAATCCCTATTTTTGAGCCTTTACCTTCCCAGTACTACATCCGAGCAGTGTCTGATAGATGGTTAGGAGCTGAAGCTGTATGTATTATCAATTTTCAGCATCTGATTCTACCAGAGCGACACCCTCCTCATACAGGTAACCTAAAATAACTCTGTCAGTTTGAATTGTTATCTTAAATTAGTGATGAAAAATATCTGAGAGTCATTAAAGTATTTTAGTATGTATCAAAAGTCCAATTTGTCACTATATTTTGGAAATACTTTTTTGTATATTTTATATATTTTGTCAATCTTAATTATTGTTGTAGTTGTTGTTATTGACGTACCATCAAAGCAAGTAAAACCCATAGTGATGCTGTGAACAACAGATCTGAATGCTGTCCTATCCTGTGCCATCCTCAAAATCGCTGATGTATTTGAGCCCCTATCTGAACTCTGTCAATCTATCTGGTTGAGGATCTGTCTCTTTTGCCAGCCCACCATTTTTCATGATATCCTTCTCCAAATAACAGCCTCTCCTAACTGCATGCCCAGAGTGTGTGGGCTTTGTCATCTTTTCCTCCAAGGAGCATTCTGGCTGTACCTTCTCAAGGACATACCTGTTTGTTCTTTTGGTAGTCCAAGGGATATTCAGTACTCTTCTCCAACACTACAGCTCAAAGGCTTCAATTCTTCTACCATCCTTATTCCCTGTTCAACTCTCAGATGCATAGCGAGTGATTGAAAAGACCATGACCTGAATCGAGTGCACCTTAGTCTTAAAAATAACATCATTGTTCCTCAGTAATTTGGAGATTTCCTTGACTGCAGACTATCCCAATGCAGTGTATCTTTTGGTGGATCTAAGTAAGACGAAGTCGTTGACAATTTGATTATTTTCTCCATCTATTACGATGTTGTCCAGTGGTGAGAATTTTTTTTTTCTTGATGTTGAATGCAATCCAAATTGAAGGCTGTAGTCTTTGATATTCTTCAGCAAGTGCTTCAAGTCCTCTTTAAGCAAGCAAGGTTGTGTCATCTGCATAAGTAGATTACTAATTCTTCCTTCAATCTTGATTCCACATTCATCTTCGAAGAGTCCAGCTTCTCAGATGTGTACACATCTCTTAATTTTAAACCATGTGGTGTTCCCTAGTTCTGTTTTGCATAACAGCTTCTAAGTCTAAGGATAGGTTTTCCATGTGCGTAATAAGTGTTCTGGATGTTAACCATAATTTGTTATGATCCCCACAGTAAATTGCCTTTGCATAGTCAAAAAAGCATAAATTCAGCAAGGATCCATTTGACATCAGCAGTGATGTCTGTGGTGCCATGGCTTCTTCTAAATCCATCTTGAACATCAGCATTTCTGTGTTTATGTCCTGTTCTAGCTCTTTTTTAAACTATCTTAAGCAGTATTTTATTTGCATGTGATATTCATGATACTGTTTGATAATTTCTACATTCTGTTGATCACTTTTCTTGGGAATGGGAACAAATATAGATTTCTTTCAGTCAGTCAGCCAGGCAACTGTCCTACAAATTTCCTGGCATACACTGGTGAGCACATCCAGGGCTGCATCTGTTAGTTGAAACATATCAGTTGGTATAACATCAATTCCTGGAGCCTTAGTTTTTGCCAGTGCCTTCAGTGCAGCTTGAACTTCTTTCATAATTACCATTGGCTCTTGATCATAGGATACTTCCTGGAATATCGGAGTGTCAGCCAATTCTTTTTGGCACAATGACTATATATATTTCCTCCTCCTTCTTTTGATACATCCGGAACCATTCAAGATTCTGCCTATAGCCTCTCTCGGTAGTGCAGCTTAAGGCTTGAATTTATTTTTCAGTTCTTTCAACTTGAAAAATGCCGAACAAGTTCTTCACCTTTTACTCTCCAGCTCCAGTTCTTTGCATATTCTAGTATCTTCCTTTGTCTTCTAAAGCTGCCTTTTTCTCTTCCCATTTTTTGGCTTCTCAGTGCCCTAGTGTAATTTTCAGAGTATCTTCTAATGTCTATTTGGGGTTTTTTGTTTTTTTTGTCTGTCTTTGAAGTAACCTTTTGATCTTTTCTTTTTTTAGATTCATAATATGAACATAAATTTTTCTAGTTTGACTTGTAAAAGAAGCAGCATTTCACAAATAAATGTTTATAATGTTATGTTAATTGTGCCCCATGAAATAACCTTATTTCAGAAATTTCCCATCAGTCTATTAATTAATGTATTACATTTATTTGGCCTTCTGAAAATTCATAATTTTACTGATGTCAGCAAGCTCTTCTTAGTTATATAAAAATATATTTAATTCTTCTTCCATATAATTTTTCCTAAAACAAATACTAGAGAAAGATTTCCAGTCACCTCCAATGCAGTTTACAACCTCTAAAGCCCCCTACCGGGTTAGCTCTGAGCTTATTCTGACCCACGGAAATGTGTGGGTTTTTTTTTTGTTCTTTTCTTTTTTAGTTTACAACAAACTGTGGCTCTCAGATAAAAATATTACTCTTTACTATATTTGTATGAGAACATATGTTTATTAACTCTGTGTTGTAAATTGAATGATAGTTTACAGAGAAAATTGGTTTTCCATTCAATAATTGAACATTATGTTTTGTGGCATAGATTACAGCCTCCACATTGTAATACACTCATCCCACTTTTTATAAGCATTTCAAACATTATGTTTAATGACATTGATTGGAATTCCTACATTGTAATGGCGTTCTTCTCACTTCTTCCTTGTGTTTCCATTTGCCTTGCTTTTCTTACTTTTTCTGAGTTTTATCCCTGGGCGGATTTTGCCCTTTGGGTTTCTTGTGGTTGATTATTCTAAGGAGTGTACTTTCCCCTGGTATTAATTATTCCTTCTAGACCTGGCTGTTGTTTGACTGAAAATCACTGGTGGTGAATTTAAAGTTGACTAAAGAACGTACTCTCAGATGTCCTGCCAGTCTTAGACCAGCAAGCTGCTTTTTTTTTTTTAATAATTAGAGTTTAGTTCTACCTTTTTCTCTCACTCTAATACCTTTCATAGCAAGCAACCAGCATTGGTAACCCAACATCATCTAGTTCTGGTGTCAGGGTAAAGAATACTGAAGTTCATCTGTTCTATTAGCCCTTTAGACTAATATACTTCTTGCTCAGACTTGAAATGAGTAAAATCATCTCCAGTAAACTTGCAAGTAACATTTTCTTCTGGTTTTCTAGCTGGTATCTTTACAGGTATGAAATAAGAATAGTCAAGAATATAGGCTATTGCTCTTACTCACCTTTCTTGCCCACAGTATGCTATAAGGTTTGGGTCCACCCCTGTCTTTCCAGGAGTCCTTTAACTCCTTACCCCTCCTTTTTCTTTTTCATTAGCTATCCCTCTGTCTTGATACTTTAATAAAGGATCACTTCTACAGTCCTCTCAACTCATAAAAAACAAATAATAATAATATAGGACTATAGGTTGTTGTTAGTTCCTCTCAAACAGATTTTAAGCCATGATAAGCCATGTGTGCACAGTAGATCTGCTCCATAGGATTTTCAAGACTGTGGCCTTCGGAAGCAGACCACATGGCATGTTTTCCAAGGTGCCTCTTAGTAAGTCTGAACTTCATCTAGTTGAAGAATTAAACTTTAACTAGTTGAGAACTTTATCTTTGTGCCAAACAGGGACTCCTCAAGGATACTCAAGTATAACTTTACTAATCTGAATCATTTGCATTTTTAATTCCCCGAGGCCTTTGGTTTATATATTGTATGCTAAAAAAATTTAATATCTCTCAAAGTTTTCTCAGTGTAGTTACTTACTCAGTTTTAATGCGTTTGAACTGTGTAGAAGTTGGCCTGGTGGTAATAATTTGTGCTGCAATTCTTGAGGCACGCAATTCAGATCCGCCAGCTATTCCATGGGAGAAGATGGGCATTTCCCTCCAGTGCGTTTAACTCCAAAAACCCACTGGAGGGTCAGCTGTGAGTTGGTTCCAGCTCGACAGTGCGCAAGCACGTATGTGTATTCTTGGACTTGTTTCTAAATTATTAAAAATTTAAGTAGATAGTTGAGAGAAATAGGTCCCTTTGATTAAGTCTGCCAACACACAGATCTCTTACTCTCAGACAGCTACAGGGACATTACACTAGCCCTGGCTTATCTCATTGTACAATAACCTGTGTTAATTCTTAGACATACTCTAAGTTACGAAGAGTATAAGTAATTAGTTTCAAGAAATGGGTTCCTTTTACCTAATCTGCCGTGACCTGTGCAGATCTCTTACTCCCGGGGAGTTGTATGGATGTTACTGTAGCCCTGGCTTGCCTCGATGGCACTATGTAAATCTTGACAACTGTAGCCTTCTCTTCACTGAAGCCAGTTCTTCTAGGTTCCCAAGCCACTAGCTCCTTAGTCAAATTCACTTTGGAGTCTCTCAGAAGCTGAAGAGAATTTGAAGATTTTCCTTCTCATGTATGACTGTGCCATACACTAATGTTTGTGTCCTTCCCCTGCAGCATATCACAAAATTTGTCACTTTAAAAAGCTCCAGATGACAAATATTTAGTTTGCTCCTCCAACTTTCCAGGGTAAATATTGTAGATAGGATTGATTGGAGACACTACCACTAATCTCTTTCCTTTTTGAGAAAAAGACTTCATGTTTTTCTTAGAATTCAGTTCTTTCACTGATGTTCATATTCACTTACAAAGTAAAATTAGGCACCTTTGATTTAGGTTGGTATATTTCTACTAACTTCTGAAGTACATTTTCTGGGTAAATGGCGGTGAATGCAAAGAAAAACCACATTAACATGTAATTTCTCCAGTTATTCCAGAAAGATAGTGGATGAAAGAGAAACATTTTTTCTTTCTAAAGTTGTTAAGCCTCTTCTTTATATTAGATTTCCTAGACTGGGAAACATACTTCAGACTCACAGTCTAAACTTTTGTTTCAGTATCCCAAACACACTTTATCCTCTTTTCATATGAAAAGGATCAATCTGACAGTTTGGTAGTTGAAAAAAAAGTAAAGGCCACATGGGGTTGGCCATATCTGACCTTTACCAACTTCACAAAGGGGAACTCTCCCCATCAACAGCATCAACAACATAAAACCAATTCCCACGAGGTCAGACATGTCCCTCATGCTCTTTCTACTCATCTCAACACCAATTTTATGCTTTACTGGGTCCAGAGTCATGTGATAGCTCACAGACCGCACAGAACCATATTAGGGAAGTCAAAAGGCTACAATTCAGGTAAGTAACAGAATACAGTCCAGACAACTTCCAAAATGTGTTCATGGGCACATCAGCCTTGAGCCTCAGGGCTTTAGGCCCGTTTGCAAAGTTTTTAATCATGTCAATTATGTCCTTTCCTCCCCCCTCCTGCCAGTCCTCTAACAAACTTGGCAAAAGGTTCTTAGCTCTGGTCCAATGGCGTAGCGATCCTAAGGCCCACTCCATCTCATGTCAAGTCTCTGATCCTCCACTGTGCCTACTATGGCTATTGTTCCCTAGTCTGACTGGTGCAAGAGTCTGTGATCCTGAAGGATATATTACATTCTCTTCCTCCTTTGCTGGCCATGAGATTTTTTTTCCTCCTGTGCTACCGGATATGCCCTAATGACAAAACTAGCCACCGCCCTTGTGGATAGGCTAACATGCCATATTCACACATACGCACCCATTCACATAGCAAAGTCAAATTTACAGTGGCTGGGAAAAACATTTTGAGCCCTAAGCCCTTGCTATTATACTTTTATAGAAGGCTTTATTTTGATGAATGTGTATAAAGTTTTTGTTTGTTTTATATTAGTTTCTGTTTTATTGCACTTATTTTATGATTCTCTTATACTAGGATCTTTCTTCGAATTTAAGGTTAGAAATTGATTTTTCATTGTTGTTCTTAATACATTCGAACAGATTCTATTACATTCCACTAGGTTAAAGCAATACCTCACTCAACTATTCTGATTTTTGTCTGTCATTTGTTACTGGTTACAATTAGTAAACATGCCAGAAATGAGTTTTGCAAATGGTTTTCCTTTTATTCAAATTAGAGTAGATTTACTTCTGTTCTTCAGTGTGCTTATTTTTACACTCTTACATTCAAGTTGTTTTCCTAATTAGAAGCAAAAACTATAGCATTATAATGAGGAAATCCCCCAGAAAGTGATCCGATATGTTAATATTAGAAATATAATGTTGATGGGAGGAAAAGATATATAACAGATATACAGAATAAAGAATTGTCATTTTTATCCCTAACATGTAGGATTGTTGCCTTTTTTTCAGTTATTGTATAATAATACTTGTTGCATCTTTTTCAGAATTACTGGATCTTCAGCCTTTACCAGTTACTGCTTTGGGCTGTAGAGAATATGAAGCCCTCTATAACTTCACCCACTTTAACCCCGTGCAGACGCAAATATTTCATACACTCTATCACACAGACTGTAACGTCCTACTTGGAGCACCCACTGGCTCAGGGAAAACTGTTGCAGCTGAATTAGCCATCTTTAGAATCTTCAATAAATACCCTACTTCAAAGGTTTGTCTGAAAGAGTAATGTGCTTACGCTCAATTAGTAAAGGTAGTTCATAATTAAAAAGAAGCTCTGAACTAGCTAGTTCTAAATATACCAGCAGAACCAAGAAAGAAAGTTTGTCATTTAGCGAATTTTCCAGTAGAGGGAAGGTCACATCAGGAAAATGGATCAGAAGAGAATATAGATCAAACTTCATTATGCTCTAGGTGGCTTTCTAATGTGAACAGTGGTGCTGACATGTCCTTCATTGTTAACTGGCTATAGTTCATAGGCATTGTCATTGTAAAATACTTTACTCAGTAGTCTCATTCATAGCATACGCAGTAATCTATAATCAGAGTCTTTGGCTATAAAGGAAGTACTAATACTTAAGTAAAAATAGTATGATTATACAGGGGACTCTGGTGTCCTAGTGGTTAAGAAACTGCACTGGAATCCCAAGGGCGTGCAGTTAGAATCCTCCAGGAGATTGGATGGGCAGTCTCCTCCTGTGAGAAATAACTGCCTCTGCATACGCACTGGAGGGTCAGCTGTGGGTCAATTCTGACTCAGTGGCACACAACATAACAACATACATGAGTTGTTAAAGAAATGGCTTTGTTTCCATACTTCCCTAACTATCTGCAATGTTATTAATGAATATTTAACAGTATTATAAGTGAAATGAGTATTGCATTTAAGCTTCTTAAATAATAATATTTTTAAGTTGTGGAGTATGATAAGTAGTAAGCCCCAGCAGTTAAAATATTTGAGTTAAAATTTTTACTTGCCCTTTAATGTTAACATGAATTTGCCCTTAGTTTGAAACAATTGTACCATCTTCTGCTTGAAGCAAATTCATCATCATCACAGGCACCTAACTTGGTCCATGTGTGGCTTCTAAATCCATGAAAAGTCTTTAAGCTTTTTGTTGCATAAATTAAGACTAAATAGGAACTACATGCACCTGCTCTGACTTACCTACAAGTTCTTGCTTAAAGACACAAGAACATATTATTTGCTTTAGAACTCTGAGAATTACCTATACTCCATCTTTTACAAAGAGGTAGTTTAGAGAAGTTGTTATTGGAATATATGCTCTTTCCTCATCATTTGTGATTTCCGAAATGGGTTACCCTTATTTTCTGTAATTTCCAGTTAGTAGCTCTTCTCTGATTAATTTTTATTTTCTACCTCTCAGCTTCTCACTTGTATGATACTAACTCATAAGAAGATATTTTAATATAACAATAGAGCTCTTCACTATATCTGAAATTGTTGATATAGGGAAGATTTTTTTTCCCTTCGATGAAAGTTCACTGCTTTTTACCTGGTTCCAACTCATAGCCACTCTCCACTGGTTTCTGAGGCTGTAAATTGTAACAAGTGGAGACTTTCCCATCTGTCTCCCTCAGAGCTACCAGTAGATTTGAATCACTAGAGACAGGCAGCTTTTGAGCTGGTAGTAAGTATTACTTGCTACTGACTATGCCTCCAGAGCTCTCTTAATTTTTATAGAGGTTTGCATTGTTAGAGACCCATCTACTGCCTGTTCAGACTCATAGCCACCCTCCATCAGGTTACCAAGTATGTAAATCTTTATGATTGTAACTGGCCATCTTTCTCCTGTAGGGCAGTTGATGGATTTGAACCGTCAATGATTTTATTAGTCTGACATGATACCCACTATACCACTCGAGCTCCTTTTTAAAACACCAAGCTTTAAAAGAAAAAAACAGATTGAACATGTAAAATATCTGATTGGAATCTCATAAAATCTGCATTAAAATTTAAATAAATAGTTTAAATTTTAAGTGTACAGCCTCAAAACTAGTAACTTTGTTCATAAAAGAGTTGCATAGAATACAGATGAGTCACGGTCAGAATAGTAGAAAAAACATTTATTTACGTTGTGTTGTTGTTTTTGTTCTTGTGTACCTCTGAGTCAGACCAACCCATAGCTGTTTTCAGAGGCAGTTAATTGAAAGGGAGGAGCAGAGAGCCTGCCTTTAAGATTGCAGCACAGCTTCTTGCCTCTAGGCCACCAGAGCTCCCTATATTTATATTAGAACCCTAATTTTCTCTTTACAATATATTATCTTATGAACATTTTATTTGTTCACAATAGCAAATAATTTCATTATAAAATACTCTCAGAAAAATGCCTCTTGTACTTTCTATGAAATATTACTTGTCCATATCAGTGCTATGATAGGAATTATTATGATCTGTATTTCTGTATTAATTTGGATAAACAGTATGGGAAAGATAATGACTTTTCTCCATAAATCCTTCAGTATTAGAAGATACCTTTTAAATGACTGTTAGAGTTTGATACATTTTCTAGTGCTCACTTCCATTTTAAAATGCTCTTATTTTCTTCATGAACACTGTTTTGTCTCCCTCTATTCACCATTTACAGGCTGTATATATTGCACCCCTAAAAGCCCTTGTACGTGAACGAATGGATGATTGGAAAATTAGAATAGAAGAAAAGCTTGGTAAAAAGTAAGTTCTTAGATTATTCAGAAGATAAGTTTTGAATACTCTGAATAGAAGAGTTTAATACGTTTCCTTATAATGATTTTCATAAATTTTTTAAATTTTTCATTAATATTTCAATATCATACATGGTTATTCATTATAGTATTATTTTTAATAGCAAAAGATTACAGATAGCCTTAATGTTCATAAAGCACCCTCACTCATTGCTAGGGAGTTGTGGTTGACTCATAGCTGACTCTCCCTAGTGAGTTTTCAGAGGCTGTAAATGACACAGGCAGAGATTACCAATCCTTTCCTCTCAGAGCAGCCAGCAGATTGGAATCACCAGCCTTTGAGTTGGCAGCACAGCCCCCACTAAGTAGGACATCATTAAGTAAACGATGATACTTTCAGACAATGTAAAATATATCACTGTAGAAAATAAGGAACTAAAATGGTTTTCAGAGGTGTTTTAAGGAATAAGTAAAATAGCCAATATTTTTTTTTTTAAAAATGATGGGCCATGTGATTATTTTACCATATTAGAACTGGGTGCTTGAAAAATGAAGATGTTTGGAGATGACTTATTACATACTCTTAGAGTCATATGTTTGAATTACATAGTCAAATAATAAATAAGGTGCAAAAAATAAAATTGTATAAATAAAGTATGTGAAAGTTTTCAGAATTTCATTTGGAGGAACTAATCTTGCCCTTTTTTTCTTTTTCACAAATGTTAATATCAGATTTAGAAATTATTTGGTAATTATGAAAAATTTGGAGTGAACTTTCAGCTTTTAGTTTCTTTTTAACTCATAGACTTGCTAAGTTTTTTAATCTTTTTTTATTAGAGTTTTTTAATACTGAAGTCTGCTCAAAATGTGGTGGCACATACTTATGCCATTTTTTTTTTTTTACTAGTCTGTCTTTTATATTTTGGAATTAGCCTGTAACACTTAAAGAAAATTTTAGTCTAAAAATGAGTTTATACAAAAACCATATATTTTTAATAAAATTTTCATTTTATAGTGGTTTACTTAAAAAGTTCATATACATTGCTTTTCACTCCTGATCCTTGCCATTTCCTTAACCCACCTCTCCCTCCACCATCAAATTGTGCGACCCTATGATTACCAACCCCCAACCATCCTTACCCCTCTGCTCCCCCCTCCCCCCTTCGATCTTCTGCTCCCCTCTCCTCCCCCCTTAGATCCTCATACACTAGTTATTTATTTTTACAATAATGGTCTTCTACAGTATTTGTCCTTATGGGACTGAATGAGTTCACTGAGTATTATGCTTTCCAGTATATCTGAAGTTAGGTAGTGATTTTCAAAATCATTGCTCCTACATGCTGCATAGTATTCCATCCTGTGAATGTATTATAGTTTCTCAATCCATTCAATTGTCATAATTATATTTTTGATGAATATCTTCCTTTGTCTTAGTTAATGGTACCCTTAATTAGAAGGATATTCATTCTGCCATAGGGAGAAGGATATCTAATTACATAAACTTGTCGAGGTCAAAGATTCTGTAAACATAATGATTTCACAGTTTGACACCTTTCCAAACCCAAATTAAAGTTAGAAGTTGTCTGTGTCTACAATTTTAATTTAAACTTCCTTTAATTTATATGAATAAATATCTTCAGTTTCTTTAGAAATACAGATTTTTACTTCCAGATCTTAGGAAATTTCAAAGAGAAAAGGGAATAAGTTTTAAGGATTATAAAATTTTCAAAGTGATACACTTTTGTTTTTCCAAGGTTATGTATTACTTGAAAAGTTAAAGAAATCTATTTAATTCCTCTCCAGAGTTATTGAACTAACAGGGGATGTGACTCCTGATATGAAATCCATTGCTAAGGCTGACCTTATTGTCACCACTCCAGAGAAGTGGGATGGAATCAGCAGAAGCTGGCAAAATAGGAACTATGTTCAACAAGTCACTATTCTCATCATAGATGAGATCCATCTACTTGGTAGGTGCCACTATATCTAAAACCAGTTTACAAATTCTCTCTCTCTCTCTCTCTCTCTCCAGAAACAGCCAGTGTTGAAGTTTGTTAAATGATTAATGTACATTATTTCTGTTTCTTAGGGGAGGAAAGAGGTCCTGTTTTAGAGGTCATTGTATCTCGAACAAATTTCATCTCATCACACACAGAAAAGCCTGTTAGAATAGTTGGTCTGTCCACTGCTTTAGCTAATGCCCGAGACCTTGCTGACTGGCTCAATATTAAGCAGGTATGTAAAAGATTTCTAAGTCAAAAATGTGTCAGTCTTATTTGGCCACATTCTAAGATTGCTGTAGTCTGATAAGAAGTCCTGGTAGTAGTGGTGCATGGGTTAAACATTGGACTGGTATCTGAAAAGCTGGGTGTTTGAACTGAGCAGGTGCTTTGAGGGGGAGAAGTGAGGCAGTGTACTCCCATAGTGACCCATAGCCTTGGAAACCATATGTGTTCAGTTTTACTCTGTCATAAAGATTTGCTGCATGTAAGAGTCAACTTGATGACAGTTTATAATCTTTTAGCTTTAAATATAAAACTGAGAAGAATTTATCCCATTTTCTTTAGATGGGTTTATTCAATTTCCGACCATCTGTACGCCCAGTTCCACTGGAAGTTCACATTCAAGGCTTCCCAGGTCAGCATTACTGTCCTCGTATGGCTAGTATGAATAAACCTACATTTCAGGGTAAGTTGCTGTTTCTGGGAGCAAAATAGCACCCATTTTACACAATACCAATTAAGTGGTTTCTAAATGGTGACAGCGTCTTTGAAAGACTGTTATACGTCTACATATATATAAAGCTATTTACCTCTGTTGTTGAGGTTTACAAATATATGTGGAATTAACGTTAAAAGTTAAAAATTTTGTAATTGATAATATCTTTCTAATAGAAGTTGTTGTTGTTAAGTGCCATCGAGTCACAGGCGACTCATAGTGACCCTATGAAGGAGAGTCCTCAACGCTTGGGTGCCTTTCATCCTCTCTCCAGGTTCATAGGGTTTCCGGAGGCAAGCTATTATGGAAGTGGATGCCACTCCTCCTTCCAAGCTTGTTTTAATCGGGGAGCTCCACCCCACTCTCAGTCCGCACTGGGTAGCCAACCACCATTAATGCATTTGACACATCAGTGTCACAGTGTTCAGCCTCACAGCAACCACAAGTGACCACGGGACGGCAACTTGTACACCAGGGCTATACGACCTAGAGGAATGTCTGAACAAAAACAATGAAAGACTGGCCTGAGGGCCGTGGATTAAAAGTTACCCACCTTGGCCGTCTCCTCCCTCCTCTTCTCCTTTTGGGCTTGAAGCCGCTGCTGCCTTCAACCCAAGGCCAAGTGTGGCTTCCCTGGCTCCTGGAGGCAAGAGTCGCCTTTCTCCAGAGACCGCCACAACACAACACAACTCCCACGTACATAGCACCATGCTTTCCTAGTAGAAGTAAAAGTATAAAATCTTAAGTAATCAAAAATCACTTAATATTAATCTTTTAGGGTATTTTCTAATGGTAGTTGCTTTGAACAAATGATAAAGTGTAGTTGAAGTGAATCAAGTATCATAGTAAAAATAGCCTTTATTTTTACTAAAAACCACAACATAGAATTTTATATGCTTTTTTACAAGTATGCTGGTTTTTCTAAGAAATTAGACAAACAAATCTGTTAAGAATTAACACTCCTATTTTTTAACATGTTTTGTTTAGAGATTCTAACAAAAAATATTTATTATTTCAATTAAAAATAACTTCTAAAATAAATTACCCAATATTAACTGTGACAGTTGTTAGGTGACTTTTTAGCTGCTGTAATTAGCCTTATGACAAAAGCGAAGTATTGATTGTAAACTAGAGACCATTCTTGACAGTTCAGATTATTTATACCTCAACAGAAGCATTGCACAAAAGCACCAATGTACAATAAATCTACTTTAAGATGTTCAGCCACACCTGTTCTTAGAGCCATAAAAATCCATTAAATGTTTCGGTTTAAAAAAATGAGATAGACATCCATTCATATGTATACAAATGACACCAATATTATACTAATATATGTATTTTTATATATCTCTAATAAATTTTATCTTAAGTATTACTATTTTTATTCTGTAATACTCTAATAAAAATACAATAAAACAGTGAAAAATGAAAAGGATAAATAGAATATTTTAAAATATACTATACTATTTAGAATACTTATCTCTACATGTATTTTAGTAGAACTGATTGATTATTATACCAGTGATTGAAGAGAGTGAAAAATTTTATGTTCTGTAAATCGTAATTACCAGTTTATTAGTTTGTCAGACTGGTGGCATTGTTTGTTGCTCTCGAACCTGTGCAACCAGTATTTCAAATGCCAGCACTCTTCACCCCTGTGGAAGGGGGAAAATCTTATGAGTAGCACTGGTGTCAGAAGATGAACCTCTCAGGTTGGAATGCACACAAAATGTAACTGGGCAAGAGTACCCTCCTCAAAGTGGAGTCAACCTTAATATTTGGTGGAGTAAAGCTTTCAGGACCTATAGGTGCTGTTGTGACAACTTGAAAAGAAACCACTACACACATCCATTAATAATTAGAATGCAAAATGTAGCTAAATTTGAATGAAGGAAAACTAGAATTTAGCAAGTGAAATGGGATGTTGGAACTCCATATCCTGTGCATTAGTAAGGTGAAGCAGACTGGTACTAGCCTTTTTTTTTTAAATTTCAATGAACATTTACAGAGATTTTGGCTTTCCATTCATTCATTGTTGTACTTTTCTCCCCACCCCCCCACCCACCACCCCCAGTTCACTCTTCTCTTTGAAATGTAAAAGAAAAATTCCTTCATTGGTATACAATCCCTCTGCCCCCACACCACCCCCATCCGGAGTATACTCCACTCTGCATCCTTCATTCCGAACTCTTATGATAAACATAATGCCCTAAAATATATTACTTTTAAACTGTTCTCTCCCTCAGTGGCTTCAATGCAGTACACAGAATTTATCCAGTTTTTCTCAGTCTTATCCCCACCTTGATGTTAGCCTCATTCTACAACAGTGGCACCATACAGTATTTGTCCTTTTGTGACTGAGATATTTCACTCAGCATAATGTCTTCCAGGGTCACCCATTTCGAATAATATTGCATGAGTTCCTTGTTTTTCAATGCAGCGTAGTATTTCATTGTGTGAATATACCAGAGCTACCCTATCCATTCATTTGTTGATGGGCACTTAGGTTGTTTCCAACTCCTTGCTATTGTGAACAAAGCTACAATAAACATGGGTGTGTATATATCTGCTTGGATGTCGGTTATGGTCTCTTTGGGGTATGTTCCCAGTAGTGCAATTTCTGGGTCAAATGGTATCTCTATTTGCAACTTTTTAAGAAAATGCCACACCACTTTCCACAGTAGCTGGGTATTAGCCATTTTTAATGAAGTAATCTCATAATTTATTTATTATGCCTACACTGAGAAATGAAGAGAAATTATATTACATGCATCATCATAGAGAACATTTTAAAATCTACCCAGAAGTTAAACATTGTCAGTGATAGCATAATTCCCAGATGCCTGTGAAGAACAATTAATACTATCTTTTCAGAATTACACATCAACCACCAGTGCCACAAATGAAGAAATTAAAGATTTTTAACTAATTTCTGCTCTCTGAAAATAATAACGTATATACAGTCAAGATGAAATTTGAAATGTGAAATTTAGAAATAAAGACAGCAACAGTAAAGGGCAGTTGTATACATGGACCTCATCAGATAAATTAAAATCAACTTAGATCTGTAGGAAAAGATAATAGAAACACTCAAGATCATCATTCAGAATAAGACCGGATGCCAGTTGCAAAGCAGACCATCAATTTCTCATTTACAAGTTCAACTTCAAGCTGAAGCAGATTAAAACACATGCATGAGAGCCACAATACGACCTTGACTGTATCCCATCTGAAGAATAGCTTTGATTGAACACTGATAACCAAAGATCAGATAAGTTGTGGTGTGACATAAAGGACATACATGAAGAAAACAAAAGATCGTTAAAAAGACAGCAAAGACTAAAATTGCAAAGTCAGAAAAGACGCTGAAACTTGTTCTTGAAACTAATTATAGTAACTGGAAGAAACAATTAAGTAAAACACCTGAACAAAAAACTTGACAAAATAACTGAAGAAGATAAGTGAGTACAAAGAAATCCACAAATACCTAGAATTAGAAAACCAAAAATTAAGAGGACATTCAACATTTTTCAAGCTGAAAAATCTGAAGGAAAATTTCAAGCCTTAAGTTGCAATATTGAATGATACTGTGGGTAAAAATTGAACATTGCTTCAGAAGCATCAAAAGACAGAAGGAGAATTCAGAGGCACCGTACCAAAATGAATAATCAACAGTAAACCATTTCATGATAGAGCTATCAAGGACTGACGGTATTGAAGGCAGAAGTCCAAGCTTCACTGAAGCACTGATGAAAAACAAGGCTTCAAGAACTGGTAGAGAACAGTTGAGATGCTGTAGCAAATGGATGCAAATCTATAAAAATGCACTCATCTACACCAAGAAATTTGTAAATCTTGACCACAACTACCGGGAAGACGTTCATATTCATGTTCATTTTTTTTAAAAAGTGATAGTCCAGAATATAGACATTATCAAACAATATCATTAATGCCACATGGATGTGATTTGAAAATAAAATTTTGATGAAGATATTTGAAAATCAATTCATCAGTAGGAAACTTCCAGAAATTCGCTTGATTCAGAAGGGAATATAGAATATAGAATGAGGCATATCATGGCTAATAAAAGAGGGATATAAGCTGAAACCAGAGAATACCAGAAAGATTGACACTTGAGTTTTATTAATTATGAAGAAGTGTTCAACTGTGTGGATCATACAAAGTATCAGTGACAGTGAATTTGAGAACATGTAATACTGCTCACTTAAAACCTGAGGAAGATTCATTCACTGTAACAGAAGACAGGATTATATAGTGTGGCTTTAAATCAGGAAAGGTGTGCACAGGGTTATGACCTTTGACTATACTTAGTCAATTTGTATGCTGTGCTGATAATCCAAGAAGCCAGACTATATGAAGAAGAGCATGGTATCAAGACTGCAAGAAAATTCAGTAACAACCTGTTACGCAAATAAAATAATTTTATGTGCAGAGTCAAGAGAATTTAAAGGACTTGCTGATGAAGGTCAAAGACTACATTTTATAGGCTCCAGTATGGATTATACCTCAACATAAAGAAAATAAGCATCCCCACAACTGGACCATAAGTAACATCACAGAGAAAATATTATAACTGTCAAAGATTTCATTTTACTTGATCTACAATTAACACCAATAGAAGTACTACTCAGGAAATCAAACCATGTATTTGCATGTGCAAGTCTACTGAAAAAATACTTTTTTTAAATGTCAAAAATACCAGTTTGAGGACTCATGTGCACTTTACTATAACGTGCAATTACATTTTAATCACCTCATATGCATGCAAAACCTGGGCAGTGAATAAGGAAGAAATAGGAAGAATTGATGTATCTTTATTATGGTGTCAACAAAGAATATTGAATATATAATGAACAGAAAAAGAACAAATTTCTCTTTGAAAAATTATAGGCTGAATGTTCCTTAGGAGCAAGGATGGTGAGATTTTGTCTCATATTAGACATGCTCTATGGAGTGATAACAGCATTATTCTTGGTCAAGTTGTTGTCATTGCAAGGTGCCATCGAGTCTAGTATGACTCATGACAACCCTATGAATAGCTGACCTGAACCTTGCCCTGGCCTCATCTCTGAAACACTCAAGCCCATTGCTGAATTGATCTTATCAACTCATCTCATTAAGGATCTTCTCCTTCGCTGACTCTCTTGATGTCCTTTTCCAAAGAATAGCCTCACCTAGTTCCATGTCCAAAGTATGAAAAACAAAGCTTCCCCATGCTTTCCTGCAGGGAACACTCTGGCTGCACTTTTCCCAAGACATAACTGTTTGTTGTTTTGGAAGTCCATACTCTTCTTCAGCACCATAATTCAAAGGCATCCATTTTTCTTCTGTCATTCTTATTCATTGTTCATCTCTCTGATGCATAGCAGGTGATTGGGAAGACCCTGGCCTGAATCAAGCCCACCTTAGTCTTCAGACTGGCTTCACTGCTCTTCATCACAAGAGGTTTCTGACAGCAAACTTTCCCAAAGCAGTACATCTCCTGATTTCCAAATTGCTGGTACCAAGCGTGCTGATTATGGATCCAAGCAAGATGAAATAATTGACAATTTCAATCCTATTTCCATCTATCATAATGTTGACTTGTTGGTCCAGTGGTGAGGATCTTTATTTTCTTGATATTGAGCTATAATCCAAGCCGAAGGCTGTAGTCTTATCTGCAGCAAGTATTCTATATCCTTTTCACTTTCAGAAAGCACAGTCGTGTCATTTGAATAATGCAGGTTGTTTACGAGTATTCCTTAGATCTTGATAAACATATTTATTTTTCACAAAGTCTGGCTTCTCAGATAATTTGCTCCGCATACAGATTGGATAGGCATGGAGAAAGGATACAACTCTGACAGAGACCCTTCCTGATTTTAAACCATGCAGTAGTCCCTTGTTCCATGCAGACAACAGCTTCTTGCTCTAGGTATAGATTCCATATGAACAGAATTAATTGTTCTAGGATTCCCATTCTTAGCTATAATTTCTTATGACCACACAGTCAGATACCTTTGCATAGTCAATAAGACTCAAATAGACATTCTTTTGGTATTTTCTCTGCTTTTACTAGTATCCATCTGTCATCAGCAATGATACCTTTGGTGCCATGGCCTCCTCTAAAACCAGCTTTAACTTCTAGTAGTTAGCCATTTTAAGTGATCTTAATATTTTGCTTGCATGAGATAGTAATTATATTATTTGAAAATTCCCACATTCCAGTGGAATTTAAGAGTCATCTCAAGAAACGGATTTGAAGACCAGTGGAACTGTGGAGTGACATCAAAGATATGATCCATGAAGAGAACAGAAGGCCATTACAAAGAGAAGAGAAAGAAAAATCCAAAGTGGATGTCAGAATAGACTATGAAAATTGCATTATAGTGTCAAGAAGTGGAAACAAAAGGAAGAGATGCCAAGTGAAATAACTGAACAGACTATTTCAAAGGTCGGCTCGAGAAAACAAAGTATTTTAAGAAATGAGCAAAGAGCTGAAGTCCAAAAATAGAAAGGAAGACTTCACTTGCTATCTCTCAAGAACTGAAAAATAAATTAAAACCTTTAGTTACAGTACTGAGAGAGGCCATGAACAAAATCTTTAGTAATCCAGGAAACATCAAAAGAATGGGAAGATCACTATACTAGAAAGAACTGGCTGATACTAAAAATTTCAAGAAGTCCCATATGGGAAGAGCCAATGGTAACAAAGGAAGGCTATGATAAACAAAGCTGCTATGAAAACACAGGCAAAAATTATGACCCAGAATTAGATTGTGTATCAATTGACCTATTACTATTAACAAATGTAACTATGGACACGCTCACCAGTCTATGCTGGGAAAATTGGAGGACAACTTCCTGGCCTAGAAGAGATCCATATTTGTCCATGTTGTTGTTAGGTGTCATTGAGTCAAGTACAACTCATAGCAATCCTATAAACAACAGATCTGAATCCTGTCCTATCCTATGCATTCTTCACCATTTCTGACACACACTAGCTTATTACTGTAGTCACTGTGTCAGTCCACCTGCTTGAGGGCCTTTCGTCTTTTACTGTCCTTCCTCATTTCCAAGCCTAATGTCTCTCTCCAAGGAAAAGCCTTTCCTAGCAACATGCACAAAATATATGAGATGAAGCTTCATTATCTTTGCTTCCAAGGAGCACTGTAGCTGCACCTTCTCTAAAACTTAATTGCATGATATTTTGGCAGCCCACTGGTTATTCAGTACTTTTCTCCCAACACCACAGCTCAAAGAAATCAATTCTTCTTCTGTCATTCTTATTCATTATCGAGTTCTCAGGTGCATAGCAAGTGACTGAAAAGACTGTGCCCTGAATCAGGAGCATCTTAGTGTTCAAACTGACATCATTGCTACTAAATAATTTGAAGAGGTTCCTGACTTCAAGAAAACAAAGGTTCTCACCACTGGACCAATTGGCAGCATCAGGATGGATGGTGAAGAGATTGAGATTTTTAACAGCTTGAGTTTGTTTGGCTCCACAGTCAACACTCTTGGCACCAGCAGCCAGGAAATTAAAAGGCATATTGCGATGGGAAAGTCTGCTATTAGAGACCTCTCCAGAGTACTGAAGAGCAATGGTGTCACTCTGGAGACCATGGTATGCCTGATACAGGCCATGGTCTTTGCAATCACTTGTTATACATCAGAGAGTTGGACAATGACTAGGGAGGATAGAAGGAGAATTGATGCCTTTGAGCTGTGATGTTGGAGAACAGTATTGAATATACCATGGACTGCTAAGAAGACAAACAGGTTCATCCTAGAGAGAGTTCAACCAGGCTGCTCCTTGGAGGCAAGGATTCTGAAGCTTTGTCTGACATACTTTGGACATGTTGCAAGGAGGGACCACTCCTTAGAGAAGGATGTCATGCTTAGGAGGGTAGAGGGACAGCACAGAAAAGGAAGGCCCTCTATGAGGTGGATTGATTCAGTGACTGGGATAATGGGGTAGGTGTGATGAAAACAGTGAGATTGGCACAAGATAGAGCAGAGTTTAGGGCTGTTGTACATGGGATTGCTATGAGTTGCAGGCGACATGACAGTACATAACAATAACAACAAACTCTGACTTCCCCATTGTAATGTCTCCTGATCTCCTGACTGCTAGTACCAAATGTATTTATTTTGGATCCAAGGAAGATGAAGTCATTCACAGTCTTTTCTCCATCTATCATGATGTTGTCTATCAGTCCAATAGCAAGGATTTTTGGGTTTTTGATGTTCATATGCAATTCATAATGAAGGTTAGTTCTTGAGTTTAACTCTCAGCAGCTAGCTCTACAGAATATGTGTTTGTCCATAGATAGCTCTTGCTGTAGAATCTTAGTCTTTTAAATATCTGTATTTTCTGTATCTCAAACAGTACTTGGATCAAGCATAGTTATACCTTACTTGGCCTTTTCACTATGCTTTCTAAGTGAATATTATTTGCTCCTTTTTTCTTATTTGTCCAACATACTGTGAGATCAGTGGAGCACATAGAATAATATGATCAAATTAAGAATTGCCTTTATCATTTACAATGTTTGGTTTTTTACATATGTTCATCTTAATTTTTCTTTTCCTCACCTACTAAATAGCAATTAGAAGCCATTCTCCAGCCAAACCTGTCTTGATATTCGTCTCATCAAGACGTCAGACCCGTCTCACAGCATTAGAATTGATAGCCTTTCTGGCCACTGAAGAAGATCCAAAGCAGTGGCTGAATATGGATGAAAGAGAAGTAAGCAATATGTTTCATTTTCTACTTTTTATGCATGTCAGTATTGTAATGTAACAGAAATAACCTATTTCAGCAAAGTCAGTTCTTTTTGTTACTAAAATAAAAATAACATTATAGACATTTGACAAAATAAAAAGGAAATGCATGATGTTGCCATCTTACCATAACACACAGAACACTAGCATTTTTGTATACTTCTTTGCAGTAGTTGATTCTTAAACATCTATTTTATGTATTTGTCTTTATCATATTTCTCTTTTAACATTATCGCATATGTAGTACTTTAGTTTTCAACTAAATTTTCATCTGTATGTATGCTCTAACCTCCTTGAACTTCATCATTTTGCAAAGTTTACTTTTGAAAACATATTTAGCATACATTCTTTCTTTTAATAATTTAGAAAACACTACAGTTTAGTGTTTGGCACAGTGACTTCAACAGTAGGCTCAAGGGTGTCATAGTTTATGAGAGTGGCAGAGGATAGGACAAAGTTCATGTCTGTTGTTCCTAGAGTTGCCATGAGTCAACTCGACTCAAGAGCACCTAACAACAATAACATTTTAATAATTTAATTTTTTGTTCACATAATTGTATTCTATTTTGTAACTATTTATGGGAACACTGGTGGCACAGTAGTTAAGATAATTGTATACTAACCAGAAGATTGGAAGTTTGAGCCCACCAACTCTTCTGTGGTGACATGTGGCCGTCTGTTTCTGTCACAGTGTGCAGTGCAGCCTCTTGAATCCTATGGAGCAGTTTTACTCAGTCCTGTTATTTCAGTATGTGCTTTGATTTTTGTGCAGCTGAATATTTTCTTCTATTTGTTTCCTAATTTTCTTTTCTTTTTTAAATATTGGGCTTTCGTCTTATTAAGTACACCATTTCTAGATTCATGTGAAGGCCTTGCCCCTTTAAAAAGAAAAATATACACATATAGAAAACACTAGCATTTTTTTCTTAATATATATCTATTTATATATACATGCATACATTTGTAATCCTTCATCTGCTTGACTACATTTTCTAGTTCATTACGTATTTTTTACATTTATATTCTTACCCTAATACAAGATTTTGTATTTTATATGATCTAATCATCAGTATTTTTTAATTCATTTTTTCTTAAATAAAATTTTTATTTTGTACGTTTACTTACAAAGTTCATGTACATTATTTTTCATACTGTATCTTTCCTATTTGCTTTACCCACTCCACCCTCCACACGTCAAATTGTGTGATCATATGATTGACCTACGTTCCTGCTGCCCATCTTCACCCCTTGGCTCCCTCCTCCCCCGTTGGGATTCTCATACATGTTCTGTAGTCATGGTCTTATACAGTATTTGTCCTTATGGGCCTGAGTTGGTTCCCTTAGTATTATACTCTACAACTTTTCCCAAGTTAGGTAGTAATTTACAAAATCATTGCTTCTGTTTATTGCATAGTATTCCATCATGTGAATGTACCATAATTTCTTAGTTGATTCGATTTTGGTTGGAAATATGAGCTGTTACCATGTTCTTGTGATGGTGAATAATGCTGCTGTGAACATTGGTGCATTGGTGTACAAATCTCTGTGCCTCATTTCTCATATTCTCAGGGTATATTCCACACAGTGGAATAGCTCGTTCATATGAAATTTCTGTGTTCAGCTTTCTGAGAAAACACCAAACTGCCATCCAGAGTCCACCAGTAATGTATAAGAATTCCTTTCTCTCCAAATCCTCTCCAGCATTCATTACTTGCTGTTCTATTTCAATATAATTTTTTTTAGTTGATTCTTCTACTTCCAAGTGTAGATATTTCTTTACTCTGGTATGTATTTAATATGTAATGATATTCTTTTCTTATCTCTCTCGTGTTTTTTTTAAAATAGATATTTATCCATGGAGTCAAGATGTAAAAAAATTTAAATCAGTAACAGAATTATTATATTGTCATCTCTGTATGCCTGAACCTTCTAATACTACATTCTGCCTTTAAAGCTACCTCATCCTTAATTGATATTTTTATTTAAATAACATGTAAAATATCAACAATATGCAAGAGCTGATATACCAAAATGGTGTAATTTTATTCCATAAAAGATCTAATAAGTAAAAGACATAGTCTTAGCTTCATATAAAAGTAATCACATCATTACTTGCAATGGAGTTAAAAGCTATAATTTTATCTTTCAGAGCTCAGTAGTAAGTTTAAAAAATTACATGTGTATGTATTCTAAATATCAATTCAAAGTAAAACTTTTAAGTCAAAACAGTAATTTTCCCAAGTCATTTTGTTCTTACATGATTTAATTGACAGGCCAAGTAATCACTTGTTTATATGTAAACTACTATCTCAAGTGACAAATCATTCACATTTTTATTTCATATATAATTTATGTGCAGCAGTCTATTTAGGCTGTATTTCCTTTTTTCTTACGTTGTATTCCTAGAAGTATTCTAAAGTACATTGGTCTTTGAAGTCAGGTTATAAAATATATACCTGTTGAACACATACTGAGGTATTTGCAAAAAAAAACACATAGAGATTTTGCATTTAGCACATATGTGACTCACATGAACATCAAATGTGGACTTCATGTGCTCTCCTCTGTTAGTCCAACTTTATTATTTGTTTTTCATCTTCATCTCCCACGTTTAATGAACTGTGGCTAGCTCATTCATATGGCAGAATTACTACTATTTTTTTTTTATCAACACAAAATTTTATCTCCAGGGCTAATTTGAAACTGTAGACTTGGTTTTGACGGTTTAAGATTTTTTTGTTGTTAGCTTGAAATTATGTTATTTCCAGACATTCTGTTCCACCAATACAGTCTCAAGAATAAAGAATCTAGACTTTGTTTTCTTATTGTCTCTAAAAACAATTTTAAATTTAAAGATTTTAAAACCTTTAAAATCAATATTTCAAAGATTTTGCAACTGATACTATGTCAGTTATATCTGATTATGTCACAGTCTACTACAAAGCAAATGTTTGTGTGTTGTCAAACTCATAAGCAAGTCGGAAAATCTTTTCACATTATGGGCTGAAGTTTTATAACAATTTTCTTACAGCTCCTCCTGTCATATAAATGTTCTGTGAAAGGGTAATCTAGTAATCTGGACATTAGTTTTAGCACCTTGAGCATTTGAAGGAGACCAAATAGACATAGAAATTGTTTAGAAAGTAACAATGTCATGTCGTGTGAAACCAGCAGGGGCAGCAAGGAGATGGCAGTGTCTGACCTCTGCTAACTTCTTCACAAGGGGAAAATGCCCGCATCATCATCGTCCACAGCACAAAAAAACCAAAAACACCTCAGAAGTCAGATATGGTCCCCATGCTCCTGAGCCTTTTTCCAACTAATGGCATCACTGAGCCTATTGTTCTACTTGGTCAGAATTATTTTGTAGTTGCTCATAGACCACTCAGGACCAAACTCAACAATCACAGGGTTTATTAGGGAATTCAGGTAGGTAGTAGAATACAATTAGTCAGGACAGTTGCTGAAATGTGTTCGCAGGCCCTTGGCCTTATGGCTCCTTTCACCCTAGTCTTCAAACCAGACTTGGGCGAAGGCTTCTAGCTCCGGTTGCATGAGGTAGCTGTCTCATGGTCAGCCTTATCTCATTCTGGCTCTCTGGTTCTCTTCTGTGCCTGCTGGTACTCTCCTATAGGTTTGGCTAGCTCATGAGTTCTGGCCCAAAAGGCACACTGCATTCTTGTGTCTTTGCTGTTGGTGAGATTCTCAAAATCTTCCCCTAAATCTGCTCAATTTAGTAGTGAGACTAGCCAGTCCCCTATGGATAGGCTAGCCACATGTCCCCACCCATCCGCCTGGCAAAGTCAAAGTCAGTGGCAAGGAAAACCATTTTGAACAATAGGCCCTAAACATCACAGACCACACCCTTGCTTTTCTAGTCATTAACCTTCATGTTTGAAGAATTAGCTCTCCCCTTAGAACATACAGTAACTATATTCCTGAAAGCATGTAATCCAGTCACTCTATTCATCATGCCTTAAAGACAGCTGATTTTAATTTGCCAGTCCCCATCAAACCAGCATTCTGACAAAACCGGCAAGTTCCGTTCTCTAAGAATCTGCTGTTCCAGTTAAAACTTTTAGCATCTGCATCAATAAACATCTGCATCCAGTAAAAAGCAAACCATCAGGTTGCACCAGTCTACACTGGCTCACAGCATAGAACATCTTCTAGTCCTCCGGTTGGGTTCTGGTCCTCTCATTCCCAGCTATCTATGGCTAGATCCAATTAGGCATCAGCCACAAACTCAGGAGTCCACACTTCTTCCTGCACTCCAGACCACCTAGTCCCTTTACTTACTCAGCTTTAGCCCCTTCATGGGATGAAGTCAACAAGGCAGGGTTCCTCATGACTCCCTGCTCCTCAAACGACCAGCCTTTTTCACTTATTCATACATCTGTGTATGGTAACCAATAAGCAGTGTCAGTAGAACATGTCCAAACTCAGCCTGTCTCTCCATAGCTGCTTGCTATATATACCAGTCACTCCACTGGTCCAAGAGGCCACCTCTTGTGGCTAGGTTAACACACCCTATTCACATGTCCCTACCTATCCACATGGCATAGTCAAAGTCAGTGGCTAGGAAAGCCATTTTGAACAATAAACCTTTGACAACACACAAAGCAACATCTAGTCATTCTGAAACGAAATTGTTTTATAGATGAAGCTTCCTGTAGATAAAAAGAGGAAAGGGGATTAGAGAACGGATGGAGGGTAACTAAAACAAATCTGAAGAAAACTAAGATATTTCATATTTTTGTTCTTGGCAAAGATAAATTAATTGTCTGACTAGGCACACTAGAAAATAAAGTACAGAGAAACAGGTTTCTTCAAGAATATAATTGATAATTAATTCATACAGTATCAGGAAATCCCCAAAATAATACCCTTGATATTTATCATTATGAGGCTTTCTTGCTTTGATTTCAAAAGTTCTTGAAAGGTTTCTGTCATTTGATTGGATTC